CCATTAGCCGGATTACCAAGACAGCAGTGGCAAAATGACCTAATTTTCATGAGTCACAGTTTTGTGATAGAGGAGCACTGACTTACTTCCTAGGGCAATAAAATCGGCGGTTTGATGGACCTTCCATGCTAATGAGAGGTCGTCTCCAGTCCCTCGATAGTCGAGTTGAGTTAGAATTTCTACGAATCGGACTACGGACATTGTCAGGAGAGTTGTTTGCGAGAAAGGATGGGATGCAAGTTTTTCAGAGCAGAGAATCTGAAGAGATAACTTTCCAAATCAGTCACAAATGAATCAACCCTTAAGACGATAATTTCGCAAATTCAGTATTTTAGAATGACACACCTGATAGAGAGGAAAGACAATAAGACCAATGGCTAAAGCCATATGGTAAAGCGCCATATAGACGACGACCATAGGATGAAGCTCGGAAGATGATCGGAAGAAAGCAATGGCCTGCAGCAATACAGCCATTCCGCACAATGCCATTAGTACACCGAGCCACTAAAATACAAAAAAACTTCTAATTCCAAAGAAATTTTAATTTTTAGCATATTTTACCCTAATTGGGGATTCTAGCCTACGATTACCACTGTTCGCAGGCGTTTTCACCATCAAAGAGATCCGCATTGCAACAATACATAGAATGCTGGAGAAAACTAACACAAGAAAATCCAGCATCACCTGGATGAAGTGGATTCTTGCCTCTGCAATTTAAAAATATTTTAAGAGAAAGACCGGACACCTCTATGGTAATAATCACCTCCTCTTGTGGCCGAAACAAAACATCGCGCAGCCCCCGGGAAAAAAAGCTCACACAGCTGATCTCCAAAATAGCCATTTGAAGATAGGTAAAGGTAAGAAATTAGTTGAAACACTGTCGAATTGAGGGAGTAAAGTGAAAGGCAAACACTGAAATGCATAATGAGATAAAGATAGCAACCTCGAAAAAAAATGATAGATTTTTTTCAGCGATGGGTCTGCACAATAGTTAACAAGTTAGTAACAGCCGCGTTTAGTGCAGGTTTATAGCCTAAACGTTTCACCCTGTCTGTCAGGTGAAAAGGGAGAGAGGAAAGGGCTGTTTGAGAATGGTCTACCACAACCGATAGCTGGTCACACCTATCCCCTCGCACCCACTTTCCTTCCCTCTCCTCTCCTCCACCTTGCTATACGTTTTGCAGTGTCTTTGTTGTACGAGGCATACGGGATGAGAACCGTGTCAGAATGAGAAGCTTGACTGAATTAGATGCCATTATAGATTGAATGTTCTGATTCAAAGCGCTGCTTTCAATGCTGAGCGGCAGCCTTGAAGATCTTACAAATGATTCTTGGCAAAAT